TGAAAATAAACGAGAAACAGTCCATGATACAAGTTATTACATTATTTTTAAATTTAAATAACATTAAACAGACTTTATTAATAATTTCCACGTCCTAATTTATGACAGAAACGCCTTTTTATAAAAAAGATTTTCATATCCTTGCTCTATTGGAATCAAGCGTTCATTAGGGTAACGATACATCCAAATCATGTGGACACATGAGAAACTTTTTAATGACCTCAAGTTGTGCTCACTGCAGCTAACTACGATCGCAGATCCCAAACTAAAACACATCGCAACTCGAGGCCAAACTTGCGCAGCTCTGAGCTCCACCGCTTGATAATCTCCGAGCGCGAGAAGAAGCGTGGGCACTAAAGCCTTGATCCTGCGCCGAGGATCCTGTCCCATAACGCCAGATTTTTCTCCTGATAGCACCGGTCGTCCGCAGAGTTTTTGAAACATCAAGGAGCCTTTGCTTAATTTCGCCATAGGATTTTTCAGGAGAACAGTTGCTGGGTTACTGGTGCCTTGGTCGCTTCTTCCTCTTGTGTCGATGGAGAAAGGATCAGGCCTTAAGAATGACTTTGCATTTATTACCGATGTTTTTCTATTAGCCAGTTCTTTTATGTACACTAGCATCAATGAATAGTTTGTAGTCATTAGAAATTTTCCATAATGAATAAGCGATGGATAAATTTCTGCCTCCTAATTTTTGCGTTGCTCACTGAAACAGGTATTACTTAAAAATCCTTTGCAAATATCTCTATCGATTCCGAATGCCCATGTATGTAAGGATTCGATCTCATTTCTAGAATGAATGATTATCGGAATAGAAGATTACCTAATCACCTTATATATTGATTATTAACTTTAATTTTTGTTTACGTTAGTTAGTCTCCTTTTTGGACTATGGTGCTATTACATTCAACAATTCACCATATATTTCCATGCCCGCACGTGAATAATTACGCAATTCTCTAAAGGTTCGCATTAAAATTCCTCTTAAATACTAACATGAAAGACTTTTTTTGTTATCTTCTGTTACTATCCGCGATCGGCTGCATTTATTTAATTAAATTTTGCCTCCCATCGCTTCACATCATCATTGAGAGTCAATTGACGACAGAGCAAACGCATGTAGCGAAAAGAATTACACTGAAAGAAGGCTGATGAAAACTTAAATTAATTATCATCGCTGAGTCCAGGTGTTACAAGCGGTCAATTCGTGACTTCTTCTTCATTTTAACCCGTCAGCAAAATAATTAATTTTGCGATCATTCCTTCCTCCATTGTCGAGAGCGCAACCAACTGAAGAAAAGATTGAATCGGGTGGATGCTCGTCAGTTTCACGTCTTGCATGTCAAACTTTAATAAGACACGCAATACTTTCTGACGTTAATTTTGAACGTGTGGACACCGCTCGGCGCTCGAGGTTCCGACGCGTCCTGTTCAAGTGGTGCAGAATATTTTCGCGCGTTGGCACTTGGCAGAGGCAGACGATGCTACCGTCCATGCCGATAACGTCGCTACAGCGCTTGAGTCGAAGGGCACTTCTTCTGGACTGATAAGTCTACCGTTTACTTCAATGGATATAAAGTTGTAAACTGTCTCTCTGTCTGGTGGCTTGCGGCTGAGCCTGATGGTGCGATAGCCCGAAGTGCTTGAAGGCTGAAGCTACGTTCCTGTGGCCGTGGGAAGACAATATAGGTACCTAGCCTGATATAGGAATCGTGATGACGGTCCAGTCCATTTGAAATAAGAAGCAGGTTAGCAGGGCATTGTGGTATCTGAGGCCGGACGCCGGAGTACGACAGACAATGGCGTTCCATTCCCATTGAGGCTACTTGAATCTGTCTTCATAGATCCATTAAACACCTATCAGAAAAAGGTGCTGTTAGTGTTAGAATGGTTCCAAGATTGTAGTGTTCAAATTGATTGAGATTTGAGAGTACAAAAATAAATAGGCCTAAGGCCTACCTACAGGTAGTCTAAATCTAATAGCATAACATCGTCAGTGTTTAAGAAATAGGCCAGTGCAGTAGGCAGTAGCGAGTACCAAGTAGCTAGCCCAATAAGCCCATTATAGTACTGTTATTATTATTAGTACAGAACATTTTGACAGACCCTAGTTTCTAATAACATAAAATGGGGTTACTTTTACCGGTGGGGTAACTTTGACCACTTTTTGTTTTTTTAACAAAAACCCCCAAAACTCAAAAAAGATTCGACATAGAAAAATTTTGTCAATGGCCATCAAAGGCCTAATACTGAGGCTACGTAACACAATAGAAAGATTTAAAAAGTTTGCATATCTAATAGGTTTAAAAATTAAAAATGTGACCCACAAAAAAGAGCTATTATTTAAAGCCTGTCGGAGTACCCCCTCCAATTTTCTTATTTTTTGGTAAAACAACTCCAGGTTTTGATGCATTGTAGTAGAACTTATCTAGTTACATATGCAAATGACAAATTTTAGAAAAGTGTCATAGTTTGCAAATGGGATGTGCCGCCCCCCAATGGGGTAACTTTGACCACCTAATGGCAGCCGTGACCGGGTAACATTGACCGGCTTGGAAATTACGTTAAAATTACCATAGGTACCTATATAACATATTTTATGTTTGATATACCGGTACCTATTAATGTTTTTTTCTTTATGTTTCTGACTCTACAGAGTCTTATATATGGTAATTTCAACTTAATTTCCAAACCGGTCTATGTTACCCCATCACGGCTGCCATTAGGAGGATTAGGTGGGCACATTTTGCCAATTTGGGGGCAGCGCCCCCATTTGCAAACTATGACACTTTCCTTAAATCTGTCTTTTGTATATGTAACTAGAAGAGTTCTACTACAATGCACCACAACCTGGAGTTATTTTACTAAAAAATAAAATTGATTTTACCACCCGGTCAAAGAAACCCCAAGAGCTGGGGTAACAAAGACCATCACTTTTTTTTAAATTACATCAAAACTATGAGAGGCAGGAGCCAGCAATTTATGGTGAGTAAAGCTAAAGTATAGACCTGTATTTTGCAATTTTCAATTTAAGTTTAACTTAGCTAGTAAAAAAATGACATCATTTTGAAAAAAAAAAGTGGTCAAAGTTACCCCATTTTACAGTACTGGTATGTGCTAGACTTCTGCTAGAGACAGTGCCACATTCTACATACCTAGTATAGCTAAATTACTAAAGCAATTTAATATGATAGTAGGCTAGAGATCCTTATTTATCAGAGAATTTTTTACCACAATACAATTACAATCTTATTCTAATTTGCTAAATGCTAAAGTTTTGTAAAAATTTGTATGAAAATCAATTCACACTTATTTTTTGCTTTGACTAAAAATTATTTTGATAACCTAAATTGCTTGTACAACTTAATCCTCCTCAGCTCCTCTTGAGTCTTGACAGACTAACTATACTCTATTAGTCTATAGGAGGGCTAAGGGGTAAGGAGGCTAGGAGCTCTGTATAATCTTCCATCATAAATCTTTAAATTATTACTCTTCGTTGCAGTTATGACTTATGAGAGAAGAAAAACAAAGAATAATTGAAATTTGAAAATATGGCATCTTTAGTACGTAAATAAAATTGATCCTAATTCCTATTTCAGTATTAGTTGTATTATTGGCTTTTAGCACTCCATCTTTATGATCTTATTACCTACTAAAATTACAGGCTATAAAACTGGTCAGATTATTGGACTAATTTTATCTGAAACTGGTTAGATTATCTGACCAATCCTTATCCCATACCTGACTCAGACATAGGATTGGAAAATTTCAGATGTCCATGACGGACTGCGTGACCAATTTGGAATGTTTCCTAATATTGACAGAAGTTTCCTAATATTGTGTGTATAACTATAAACATTCATTTCATGGAACAGGTGATTTTCAAAAATAGGTGGTGAAAACATCTCTTTGGAAAATATGCTGTTATAGTTGGAAAATGGAAAAGTGCCATAGGAACAGATGAAATTGGCAATATTCATCATTTCATGGACCTCGTGTGTGTTTTTGTCTAATTCACAGATGGTTTCTGTTACGTTTGCTAGTCGTATGACTAAGTCCAGGCTAGCTATAAGGATGAAGATGGGCAGAGACGAGGATAAGTTCGGGGAACTGTATTTGGTGGAATCTGGTATACAACTGAAGTATAAAGGCATGCTGGCCTTACATGACCTACTATTGACAGCATAGTAGTTCTACTCTAATTTGATCAATACGTAAACATGTAACAGTTTCTGCCGAATTTCTAGTTTAGCTGCAGTCTGCACTCTGCAGGATTGGAATTTTTCTGCTCATTTCTAAAATCTTGCAGATGCAAAAGGACCAACATGAAAATTTTTTAATACATTTAAAAGTCAGCCAAAAATAAAATTATTTTGTTTAATGATAAGCTGCAGATTTAACATATTATTCTACTTATTACTGAAATCTCATTGCAGTTGTGCACTTTTGTTAAGAATTAGATAGCAAAAAACTTTTTAGTAGGAATCTTATTGCTCCAAAGATGGTAGAAAAGCTTTAACTGCAGGTCAGAAGGTAAAAATATTCCATGCTTACATCAGGGAAGAGATGCTAGTGCTTTGAATATATGTTGCCCTTGAGAAAGATGTCCCTGGTTTAAGTGGTGATGATACTTTGGGATAGAAGTAGCCAGCAAGAGTTGATTGGAGAATTCCCAAACTGAAAGCATGTAGGATTATAACACAATAAGAGATCAACTACCTACCTATGCTAGCCACTATGCTGTCGTCTATGGAGAGTTTGACAATTGTGTTGCCAATATTACCTATATTTATAGGCCCAAAATGTCTCCAAAATATTATGTAGGATTTGTCAGAAATACCTGAACCTTTTAAATTTGTTGCCAAAAATACATGTAAATAAGCTATTGCATGTCAGTAAGATCTGAAGACAAATATTTTGAAACTGATGTGTTGTTAAACTTCAAATGTTTGCTGAGTTTCTGAACCCTTTTGAACTTGGGGGCAGCTGAAAAGTTCACTCTAAATATTTAGTGACTACACAAATGTATGATTTTTACCTCAGAAGTGTTCAATTGTAATGAACTTTTGGATTAAGAATAAATCAATGTAGCTTACTTTATTTCTGATGCAATAAATTCATTTTTTTTACTAAATTGGTTCCAAAGTGGATTGTGATTGAGTACCGAATTAAAGTGTAGTTTTAACACCAGTGAAAATGACAGATGATGGTAAGAAATCTGCGCAGCCCATAGCTGCCTCAACAGAAAGTACAGTAAAATTGGATTCTGCTCTTCCTGGTGTAGCTGCTCATAATGCCAAAGCCTCATCTTCAGTCGACCCGTGGTATGAATTTGATGAGCCGACACCTGAAAAGATTGATGGAGATCTATTCTACACTCCTTCTTACTTCCTGCGCACTCACAGCAAGAATAATAACCCTGCTGATGTTTCAACACAAGTCAGTAGGCATATTTATGTTATAATTATCAGTCAAATCAATTCTGCACTGTTGCATTTCTATTGGCAAATGGTGGAATTATCTCTTCATTCACAATGTTCCCATGAGAATCATTCTATGTGAAAAATACATGTTTAATAAGAATATAGAATTCTTTTGCTGCCTACCGTATACAATAAATTTTAATATCAAGATATCTTGATTTGAAATATGTAATGCTTTAATGTTTAGCTTGACATCATCTGTGTGATGACTCCAGTTATAATGTCCTTAGTATTCAGGATTAAAATCTCTTTAGTCTTTAGGATTGAAGTTTTGTTGAGAACAGATTACTTTGTGTTTATTTTCTTTGATCACTTGGTAGTTAAGAATTTATGCAATGACAGTATGTATCATCCTTAGCTTGTGCAATGGCAAAAATGGTTCAAGACAAAATCTGACAGTTGTGGTACTCTTCAGATCTGGCAGTGTGTATTTGCCCCTCCCAGCACCCTGGGTAATTTGGTCACCCGTGATGTAGTGGCTACATGTGGGGGCTCTTCTGTATGCTTCATCGATGTCACCTCCGGGGATGTTCTTCTAAAATACAATCGCAGCACTAAGGCGTAAGATTCTTAAACAATGTTCTACCGCTTTTTTTTTATTAAGAGAATAGATTAGGTAGTTAGTCCACTGCTTTGATTAGTTAGAATGTTTGAACCTTGAAATTAATATACCATACCTATTTCTCTAGATTGTAAATAGTTATTCCTTTGGTTTTCCATTCCATTTTGGAAGTTCTTTATTGAGCTTAGAATTATTAATGAAATTAATTTGTATATTTATTTTTGTTTATATAATTCTGAAACATGAAATATGGATGATCTTTACAGGCTGGCAAGTGAGAATTTATATGCTCTTGCTTGGTCAACATTGGATGTAATTTATGAAGAACCCTCTGAATTAACTGAGCCTGATGAAGCCACAGAGAAAGTCAAGAAAAAAATGAAAGGGGAGCGTGGCAGTGTTGTGGCTGCAGGTGGAGGCAAGAGCACCGTGGTGCTGGTGGATGTTGAGGAGGGATTTTGCTATCACATGTTCAGGACTGCCACCACCAAAGCCAATGCCATCATCTGCTCCCTCTTGTTTCACCCTAAAAAACAGTCGTGGCTATTTTGTGAGTGAATTGTTCTTTTTTTCATTATAATGTAGATATATTTTTATTTGTAATAATTATGTTTTGTTCATTTTTTGTGCTTTTACGTTGGTATTAGAATATTTATTTGCATGCTCAGCATATCAATAGGAAGCATGTTGTAATTTATGTTCAAATTCCCTTGATAAAATGTTTATAAATACCATTTTGTCCCAGAAATTTTTTGACATATCCTTGTTTTATGTTTTGGAAAGAAGAATACAATGAGTTCTAAAATGTTACAGGTGGGCACGAAGATGGTCACATTGAAATATGGGATGTAGGCAAGCTGTGCAGACCAAACTACAACAGAACTGAATGCATGTCTCTGATGAGCCTTCCTGCTGTGTCCGGTGATGCCTACAACCTCTCTTACTGCCAGCAACTTGACCTCCTGCTGGCAGGCTGTGACAGTGCATTGCTGCTCTATCAAGTTGATATGAATAAAGTTGTCCGAGGAGAAAGGTTTGTTAGTTATTGAGATTGCCGAGATAGGTTGAAACAGGGGTATATTTGTTGTTTGTTTGTTGACATGAATAAAGTTGTCCGAGGAGAAAGGTTTGTTTGTTATTGAGTGCCGAGATAGGTTGAAACAGGGGTATATTTGTTGTTTGTTTTTACTTGTTGAGATTTATTTATAATATTGTATTTAGTATGCTTTAAAGGTGAGGGTTAAATATCACACTCCTGAACTTGAGTAATTGAAGTTTCTAATGAAATTTAGTTTTGTTCCGCTGATAAGTATCTTTCACAATGAATTTTATGAATCATACAGCTATAAGACAATTGTATTAGCATTACCGGAATACCGGTATCTGATTGCTGGTACGTACAATATACAATCATGAACATCTTACTTGATGCAATATAAAAATCCTCGCTCCTGTCTGTCCCCAGCCTGCAGGTAACAAAAGTAGACTTGCCAACACCGTCCCATTTTGATGATAAATCCAGCAATGTGGTTGACAGCATCACACTTGTAAGAGACACGGTGCTGGCGGCTAAGTGCGCTCTACATGCCTCCATCTACGTCATGGATATACGCAAGCTCATGGAGAAACGCCGGCCTGTAACAACGATGTAAGTCTATACCTAATAAGTTCTCTGCGGTTCACGATTGTGTAGTGCAGGTCATGAGTGTAGTGCAGGTCATCATACATAATCAGGTAGTGCAGGCTGTTATTCTGACCCAAAAACTACACTCTTATTTAACTTTATTTTGTACTTGCGTGTATTGTGGTCAAAGAAGCATGTTCTGCCACTTGAATGGTGTTTTGTATACCTATATCTGCCCATCTCTGATTAACATATACCTATATACGTGTTTATCAAATATTCTATCTCGCTTTAAATTTTGTCTCTCCTAAAAACATTGAGCTTAATTCAAATTATTGTTTTTGGTTTAGATTTATAAAAATGTAAACCTAAGAAATGAGCTTTGTTGACCTAATTGTAACTGATATGAGATAAAAATTTGTTACTGCAGGAAGAATGTCAATTTTCACCTGAACGTGACCTACGATGATGTTCTCAGTCTGGAGTGGAGCGACACGGACAATTACTACATAAACATGGGCGCTGACCCACGTGAGATAATCTTACTAGTTGAAATGAATAATTTATTTGATTTACTATCATCCGATCAAGTCATTCACAGATCTGGTGATACAGTATAACAAATCTTGCTGTTTAAAATGATTTTTTTTATTTGATTTACTGTCCATTTGATAAAATTATTCATGGATCTGGTAATATGGTATGTATAGTTAGTTTAAGCTTAGATGCTAGGGATTAAAAATAATGACGTCATAAAGTTTATATCGAATTTTATTGAAAATTCACTTCACACTAATCAAAACTATTATGAGCCCATATTTATGTGCTGATGATTAATATGTTATAAGACAATGAATATGAGATGTATTAAAATCAGGGTTGGCAATGATTAAATCAAAATGATTAAATCATGTGATTAAATCACTTGATTTTTTTATAAAAAACTCATGATTTTTTTTATTTATTTAATTTTTTTGATTTTTTCATATATTTAAATATATTGAGTGGCAGTCTTTAATTTATATTGAGGTAGTGTTATTCATGGTTTACTCAGGTTTAGTATAAATGTACTATGAATGACAAATTGGTATATAAACTTGTTGCTTTTAGCGTGTACGGTATTAGGTTCTAATAAATTGAATGTTTTTGGTACAGAAGCATCAAGTGTGCAATACATTGTACGTAGCTAGCAGCTTAGCTAATTCTTATAAGGCTAAAAGTAGTCTTTAACTATTTGAATATTTGTTATATAATGATTACAATATTCAGTTGAAATGTGTTACCTAGCTTATACAGGGTGGGGCAGAACTGATTGAACAGTTTTGAGGCGAAATAAAAGAGTAATGCAGGTACCGGTACGTACATAAAGAAAAAAGTTTATTTTCCTCAAGATTAGCATAACATACCATTTAAAATGCTTATGTTTTGAAAACAATATCAGGAAGATGGGGTTTGTTAGCTGCATCACACTATTGGTGTCGTTCTCGGAAGTTTCCTACAGCACGTTCACACATATGGCGAGGTATGGCCATAACCTCTGCTACAATAATCCGTTCCTTTAGCTGTGGTAGAGTGTGAGGGCAACTTCTGAACACCCTTTCTTTTAGATGTCCCCAAAGAAAGAAATCGCAAATGCTCAAATCAGGTGACCTCGCAGGCCACTGTAAATCGCCCCTCAGAGTCTGGGAACATGTGTTTCAAAACATTGAGTGACATTCGGGCTGTGTGAGCTGTAGCCCTATCCTGCTGGAACCACACGTCTCCCAATGCTTCAATTATGATCCATATACTGTTATTGTTAGTAGGCTAATTGCAACATAAAAAATAACACTTCAGAAAGACAAAAAAACTGAAAAAATCAAAAAAATCAAATCAAAAAAATCATGAAAAAATCAAAAAAATCATTGATTTTTGATTTTTTTGATTTAAAAAAAAAATAAAAAAAATCGCCAACCCTGATTAAAATTAAGTTTGATGCATCATGCCTAAAAATTTAGCTTAACACAATTCTCTTCACGTTATGTTGTTCAACAGGAAGATTCTAATTTGCGTAAATTAACGCATTAATAAGGTAATAACTGTTCAGGTTCATGTGTGCTGGTCTGTGGTTTTTATTAGAAATTCACTTTACTCTAATCTACATTTTTATTAGACCATATTTATGTGCAGATCATTAATATGTTATAAGATAATGAATATGAAATGTATTCAAATTAAGCTTTGATGCATATGTCTAAAAATTGAGGCATTAATAAGGTAATAATTGTTCAGGTTCATGTGTGCTGTGAGCTTAACATAACAATTCTCTTTGCGTTATGTTATTCAACAAGAAGATTCTAATGTACGTTAATTAATGCATTAATAAGGTAATAATTGTTCAGGTTCATGTGTGCTGGTCTGTGGTGACGACAAGGGCACGCTGTGGCTGTACGACCTGCATGCCGCCGTTACAGGCGCCCTCCCCTCGCCCCTCACTGGCAGTGCTCCCCTCAACAAGCCCCTCCCCCCCACCGCCAAGCTCCTCTGGCCCAACCTCGACGACCCTGAGGTGGGACCAACCTGGGTCGCATAATTTAATATGAAGACTTATTAAAATTTGATTCTTTATTAGCATGAGATTTATTCACCGTGTTTAAGGGTTAAAGATTTGAAGACTTATTAATATTTTATTCATTTATTAGCATGAGAGTCACTCACTGTGTTTAAATAGGGTTCAAGATATGGAGATTTATGAGAATTTTATTCTTTATTAGCATGAGAATGACTCATTGTGTTTAAATAGGGTTCAAGATATGAAGACTTATTAGAATTTCATTCATCATTAGCATGAGAATGAATCACTGTATTTAAATAGGGTTCAAGATATGAAGATTTATTAGAATTTCATTCTTTATTAGCATGAGATTGACTCACTGTATTTAAATAGGGTTCAAGATATGAAGACTTGTTAGAATTTTATTCTTCATTAGCATGAGAATGACTCACTGGTTTTAAATAGGGTTAAAGATATGAAGACTTGTTAGAATTTTTTCTTTATTAGCATGAGATTGACTCATTGTTTTTAAATCAGGTTCAAGTTTTTATTTTAATTTTATTTATAAACAGTTTTTATAAATATATTACTACCTGTTAATTTTAGTGTTGCAGCTGTGTTCACAAGTGTTCAAGCTTTAGCCCAAACTATAATATCTGTAACCTAACATGTGCCTGGGTACTTGTGCTTCCCCGTTGTTACCCCTGACATGATTTTGAAAGTTATTAAGAATATTAGATGTTAATTGTGATTATTTTTATTATTATGAAAAAAGGGCTTTCAATAGGTATTAATTTATTGTTGTGCAAGTGACAAGGTAACTTTTTTGTGTGGTCCTTTCAAAATCTTGTGACAGAGTATATGAGTTGACTAGAAAAGAACCCGCCAATTATAATCATAGTCTTCATGTATTCTTAGCGTGATTATTCTCTGTGTTAACAAATACTGAGAATTTACAGATTTCGTGGGTGATAAGTTACATCACTAGAAGCGTTTATAGTGCATGAGTTTGAGAGCGTTTATGGTGCATGAGTTTGAGAGCGTTTATAGTGCATGAGTTTGAGAGCGTTTATAGTGCGTGAGTATTAATGTTTTTTTATCGGCAGGTCGAGAAGGCCGGGAAGCTGCGTCTGGATTCGTACGACATCGTCGTGGACAAATGCTGCATCTCTGACGGCGCGTCGCACGTGGTGGCCGTGACGAGCAACAACATGGTATGCGTCTGGCGTCGTGGCCAGCACAGCACTGAGCTCTAGCTGCCGTAGCATTCCGTGACTGCTGCTGCCGGCACCTGTATTTGTAGCAGCCATGGCATCCAGGATACTGTAATATTTTACCCTTAACTTATTTAGGGTGAAAAGCGACGGTTGTTGTGTCACGATTTTTCCCAAACTTTGGAGATTGAAACCGTCATTGCTTTATGAAAATAACGTAAATCAAAACAGTTAAGCTGTCATTATTGTGTGCATTGGAAATAGATCGTTAATCTTGATGAAATTAAGCGATAATTGATCTTGATTGATACGTAGAAAAAGGTGTTCAATTTTGACCAATTAATCCTAATGACATCAAACTACCTGATGGCAATATAGAGGAGAATCTGATGAGTTCAAGTTGATTAAACTTCAGTGACGTTGTTGTGTAGGTAGCTGATGAAGGAACTGCAAAGCAAAGCTTGTGTTTTTGACCTCCAAAGAAACATTCCAGTTATCGGAGTCTTAATTGTTATGTTGTTTTGGAATTGATGAAAAGGAATCGGCTCCATTTTTGATGTTAACGTAAGAATAATTTTACTTTGAATCAGCTTCATTTTTGATGTTCCGTTCATCGGCTTCATTTTGATGAATGGAAGAATAATTTTAAGTTGAATTAGCATCATTTTTGATGCTAACGGAAGAATAATTTAATATGATGGAAGTACGCATCCATGTGCTATTCGATGATGGTTTTTTGTGGGCACGCTCAGTCTAGTTTGCCTGCATACAGACAGTATATGGTGCTGCAAAATCACGATATATTGGTGGAAAATGTTAAAACCGGTGCATAATTAATCGTGATTGAGGCGTTTGCTGCAACTTGTCTTTGTTTGATGGGTACAGTATTCCAGTAGCTCGTCGTCAGTTGTTGGAAGGCGAGCTTCTGAAGATTATGTGTTATGTTTAGTGCCTTGTACCTGAGATATGAGAACTATTGGATGCGTAATTGTAGTTCTCTGAAATTAAATTTTTGTTGTTAATTTGAGTTTGAATCTCTACAAAGAACTTGCTGCTTATAACGTGGCAATAATTCTGAACCTGATAACTTTTATTTCTGTATATTTGCCACTTAAAAGAGTGTTTTGGTTGTGTGCTTGTCGGTAATTCTCGGTCTCATTTCGCGGCCGCTTGTAGCTATTTGACTTCTGTTAATTAAACTTGAATGCTGACTTGTTAGTTTCGACTTGTTAGTCTTGTTCGTGTTCAGATTCTTCATCACTGGGACTTTTTCGGAATGTTCTCCGATAATATGTCCTTTAAAGAGCATGGCTATCGAGATGCTCATTCTATAACGGAATTTATTTTTAACTTAATTCATTTTTCTAAATTTCGCGTGCCATGGCTGCCAACATCACTTCTGTGATGATAATCCTCTGCCTCTCTTCTTCCTCCTATAACGCTGCCTCTCTTCTTCCTCCTATAACGCTGCCTCTCTTCTTCCTCCTATAACGCTGCCTCTCTTCTTCCTCCTATAACGCTGCCTCTCTTCTTTCTTTATTTGAATGCCACTTGTGTGTGTGTTTTCACGGTAATTTTATGCATTACCTAAATCATTATAATTGACAGACTGTAAACGTTTGATCTTCATTCGTTTGATGAATTTAATAGCCTACCTCATGCGGGCAACGATGTGTTTCCTGTAAATTTTCATGTGTTTTCTGCCATTTTTAATAATTACGAGTCACGTTTATAAATGTGGCTGAATTGTCAAGCAATCTTTGCTTGTTGTTAAAAATCTACGCTGTCAACTCAATGAGAGTTTTTTTCTGTGTAGAACCACTCAATGGAACAGCTTTTCATTTTATAAAAACTCATTTGAACAGCTTTTTTTGGTAAACAATTCTTATGTTTTGATTGTCTTGCAGTTGATATTTCTTTCGAACCTTGCTTTCATTCGATGCTCTTCAAATATAAATAAATTTTCTGATAATTTACTAAAGAATGGCGAACCAAAAGGGTTTTGTAATATTATTCAAAAATGTTTCTCGCAATTTTGTTCGAACTAGTCGTAAAGCTCATGTTTTAGATTTAAGAAGTAACTATTATGCATATTTTGTGTGGAATAACGCATTTCTTTATAGCGTCTGCAGCTTAATCTCCATCAAATCTGGTCCCATTTATATCAATACATCATATTTATATCCGTAGTTAGAGGGATTGAAGAAATGTCAGAAATCCTCTCAGATTTGTTCTAAAGGCTGCGCTATCGTGTGGATGTGATGGCAATTGAGTGCGTCGATTACTTGAATGATATAAAATAAATTACTACTTTCTTGAACGACACTAAAGGAGTTACGTATGAAGGTCAAGGCTGGCGAGGAGCTTACCTAGTGTAACACCACATAAAGTTCAACGCTTAACAACTTCAGTTATATTTTGTCGTGTGGACAAGCACAGCACTACCGATGTGGTAACAAGCCTCCACCTCCCGCACTGGAGCTGCGAACTGACCTAAGTAGAGTGGTGCTCAGAACGCTGCTTCACTCAGAAATATGAATGGGTCTGTTAGTCCAAATATTTAAACATTTTCTGCATGTAATTACGCCTTTTACTTGGTAAAATGAGGTCAGGATGACCCACACAAAGGCAAGAGCGTCACTATTGAGACGTCACTTATTTCTCTGAGTGTATGTTATGAAGTTGTGCCTTCATGTGAAGATCTCGTCGGCTTTTCAAAAGGACTCTTATAATTATTTCTTATTTTTGCTCTGTAGGCCTAGATGTGTGCGAGTGTCTTTAATTAATTATTTTTACAAATCGTTCGATAGTTTGCATTCGAAATCTAATTGTGTCTCTATTTTAGGTTAGTTCAGGATTATGTGTACAAAGGATTGTTTGTGTTGGCATTTCGGTTTTTTAGGAAATTGAGCCAAATCAGGGCGGTTGTAAGATGAACGTTGTTTGCACCGCACGTTTTTCCAGACGGTTTGTGTGTGTAGTTCGTTCACAATTTGTTCTTCGATTCGTAGAAAAATTATATTTTTAGAAACGGACCAATTGTTTATTTTTCCAGCACTGACTTTCGATTAATTAGTCGAACTTGAACACGATCTGTTGCTTATTTAAATTGGATCCGATTTGACACATTTTACAAACATGTATATAATTGCACAATTCTGTAAAAATGGCAGAACAATTTAACTTCAACGCTCCTGTAATATGAAAGTTGCGTTCGAAATTTACGGGGTTGGCTGAAGCATTTCGCAATGGTTGGTCTAATCTTTTTCTGCATTGTACTCTATATAAATATCCAGCACATTACTACAATTGATTCAGTCTCCAACTTAGGTCCATATAGCTCAATGCGTTCTCTTCAAACTATTAGCAAATTTTATCTCTTTAATTTACGAAGATTCCACCCGTTTTTGCATGGAGAACCGTACGGCCCGTAAGGACGAACAGCACGCGGTCGGAAAGAGGAAGACACACACCTGCGAGGGGCTGGAGGCTCTACTCCTGCCAGGGGACTTGAGGATCCCCCGGGTCCTCGACCTCATCTTATTTCCCAAATTGCGATTACCTGGCGAAATAAATGATCGAGTCTCGATAATTTATCAATTTTTCAGTGTGTGATTCCGTACTCCGGCCTGCTATGTAATTCTGTCGAGGCATGCAAGACGTTTAGCTTCGAGGTCATTTATGAAAGCCGATATGAGTATCGTCCATTACCCGTGTATTAGGAATAGAGATTTATACATTTTAAGAACTTGTGTCGTTTGTATTCAATTTGGATGAACATTTTATGATGAAAAATTTGTTATTTGGACATACGAGTACTTCGCGTATTCAAATGATGTTAGCCATTCATGGTAAGGATGTGTAGACGTTCAAAACGCTTCGATATTATCAATTCTAGATGAAATAGCGAAAGGCACTAAAATGAAAACGCATCTTCAAGTTTTTTGTTTTTCGAAAAACTGTAATCAAATAAACAACGGAGCACAGGAAGGAAAACTCCAATAATACGATCCGTTGTCATGACAACCAAATGATCAGCGTTCAAGTGTTGCCATGACGACAGGCGCTTGCTATGTTGCATATACGGAGATAACCGTTCATACGTACGATAATTCAGTGCTGTCACAGTTATAAAACATACTACAATGAATCTATGTTTCAAAACATGAAACTCGTTGAGTTTGCTACAAAATTACTGCTTGTTTCTTGATTCTTTAAAGATTATAGAATCTTTAAAACAAAATCTAGAAAAGAAAATTCAACTCTCATTTGCTCATTATAGAAAAGAAACATTGCTTTAGCTTAGCGCATGATATTGACTATAAAAAATTCAATTTTTATCGACTTATCTCAACAGATCTCAAGTGAATGTGGTGTATTATATCAGCTGACTCTTATTTTCGGTGTTCAGATCCATATTGATTTCGAGTACTGTAATGAACACAATTCTTATGCAGGCAGGAATTTATTACTAATGAACTGAATAATATCGTGCAAGTAACTCGAATAATATAATATATCCAAACAAAGAACCCTATTCGAACTCCACCCTAATTATTACTAACGAACTTAATAATTTCGTACAATTAAATCGAATAATATATATTCATGCAAGTAACTCAATTCGAACTCGACCCTAATTATTATTAATGAACTGAATAATATCTCGCAAGTAACTTGAATATTATAATATATTCACGCAAATAACTCGAATCTAAATCGACCCTAATTATTAGTAATGAACTGAATAATATCTCGCAAGTAACTCGAATATTATAATATACTCAAGCAAGTAACTCAAGTCGAGTAGTAATCGACCTTAATTAAAGTATCATTACACCAAGTGAGTTGAAGGGTGCAAGTTACAATGGTGCTGCTGCACGTCAAGAAGGGCCAGGAGAGCTTGTTCCTGCTGGAGGCGTCCACGGTGACGCCCGTGAGCGAGGTCCTCAGACTGGCGGTGAGCCTGCACAACGACAGGCTCGGTATCCTGGATACCTGCGCTGGTAGGTACCATGTTCAAGTAGGGAACGACAGGCTCTGTATCCTGGATACCTGCGCTGGTAGGTACCATGTTTAAGTAGCAGAAGACGGGCTCGGTATCCTGGATACCTGCGCGGGTAGGTAACATGTTTGAGTAACAGAAGACAGGCTCGGTATCCTGGATACCTGCGCCGGTAGGTACCATGTTTAGTAACAAACGACAGGCTCGGTATCCTGGATACCTGCGCTGGTAGGTACCATGTTCAAGTAGGGAACGACAGGCTCAGTATCCCGGATACCTGCGCTGGTAGGTACCATGTTCAAGTAGGGAACGACAGGCTCGGTATCCTGGATACCTGCGCTGGTAGGTACCATGTTCAAGTAGGGAACGACAGGCTCAGTATCCCGGATACCTGCGCTGGTAGGTACCAGGTTCAAGTAGGGAACGACAGGCTCAGTATCCTGGATACCTGCGCTGGTAGGTACCATGTTCAAGTAGGGAACGACAGGCTCAGTATCATGGATACCTGCGCTGGTAGGTACCATGTTTAGTATCACCGAATATTTTAACCTAATTTAGAACAATTGTCGGAGATTCTTTTATTTAAAGAGTTAGGTAATAGAAATCTATTCGCTGCTTGTGCATCCTTTTGTCAACTTAGCTCATTATAAATAACAACTGAACACGAATCAGTTTGTATATTGTTTATAGTTCAACTTCTATTTGTTTAGATCCATTATACCTACGTTTCACGTTTGTGTTGCTGACAAAATATTTTTCAATTCTGTTTCAACACTTGCAATTTTATTATATAAAAATATCGGCTTTCATTTAAAAAAGTTTCGCTTCTCATCAACGTTTAGTAACTTAGAATGACTATATGAGGTCAGAATTCTTCATTATTCAAGGTATACCAATCTGGCTAGACTGAAGAGCTGCGAACAATTGAATGCCTTGGTTCAGTCCGTGCGATTATGATCACTTGAGATACGGGGGATCTTACCCAACAGAGCGCTTGCCCAACGCGAAGTAACACAGAACTCTTACCACACGCGAAGTAACACAGAACTCTTACCATACGCGTAGTAACACAGGGCTCTTACCATACGCGTAGTAACACAGGGCTCTTACCACACGCGAAGTAACACAGGGCTCTTACCACACGCGAAGTAACACAGGGCTCTTACCACACGCGAAGTAACACAGGGCTCTTACCACACGCGAAGTAACACAGGGCTCTTACCACACGCGAAGTAACACAGGGCTCTTACCACACGCGANCATATCGATTTACAATCTGTCTCTTATACACATCTAGATGTGTATAAGAGACAGCTCTTACCCCACGCGAAGTAACACAGGGCTCTTGCCCCACGCGATGAATTACAGGCCTTGCCCCACGCGAAGTAACACAAGGCGCTTGCCCCATGCGAAGTAACAAAGGACTAGTAATATAGGACGCTTACCCCACGCGAAGTAACACAGAACACGTGCTCCACGCGACGTGTTATCCGCCGTCTCGCCGCAGAGTTGGAGCTGCTGGCCTGCCACGGCGCGGCGCTGCCGCCCGCCATGCACGGACTGCTGCAGGAGCAGGCAGCTGAGCTGCGCCTCACCGACGACTGGACGCCCGCCCACCCCCCCACCGGCGGCTTCAGCCTCAACAAGTCCGTGAGAAATTTAGCAATTAATTTAAGATTAATAGATTAATTGTTTTTTGACGGTGCACTACACTTCAGCGTCAACAAGTGCATGAGAAATTTAGCAATTAATTTAAAATTAATCGATTAATTTAACAATTAATTCATTATAAATTGTTTTTTGACGCTTCACTACACTTCAACGTCAACAAGTCCCTGAGAAATTTATCAATTAATTTAAAATTAATCTATTAATTGAACAATTAATTTATTGTATTAGGTACTATCGATTGTACACTTGTTAGGTATTGGGTACACTTGTATTAGGTACACCAATTAAGTACACTTGTCTGGATTAGTTATTGTATGATCAAGAGTGTACCTAATTCTATGTCAGTTTAATTCTTTTTCGATTATGGTTTGTTCTGCGGAGTTTGGAGTGGTCATAGTTTTTGAATTTTAAACTTTTTGGAGGTGAGCTACGAAACGTCCGTGTATCCGATTGTAACTTGAAATTTTTAGCTTATACTTTCTGTGTTTTTTTCCATTTGTCAATTTTATAACCTCTTTGTAATTTTGAACAGAAGCTTAGTTTGGATGCAGCCTCCTTAGTTTATATGTATATATCTTAAATTGTTCATAGATTTGTTTTTCTGCTTGAATTATTGCTGTCCTTATTTTCTCACTTTAGGAGTTAATGATTTTAGATCTCTTCTTCTTCTGATAGTTTCAGCCATGGTTGAACCAATACTAATATAATACTAATAATAATATTATTAATACTACTAATAATAATAACTAATATTTGTTCCACCATGGTTTCAGCATTCTAGAATTTCTGCTATATTCGCTATTGTATTTATCAGAAAACCACTACATATATTTAATACGGTACAGAGACGCTACATATTTAATACGGTACAGAGACCCGTGCGGGAGGCGGAACGGGCAGCAACCGACGGCAGAGATGCAAGAAGTGCTGCGCAAAGCTGTCGCTGAGGCCAAAGGCATCATTTCGAAGGTTAACTCCTGGTATATAATCAGCACGGTTGTTTGTGTGAAAGATTTTTATTTTGCCAATTCGATTTTATTTAATTTGTTTGTACTAGTATAGTATAGTATAGCGGTTTCAGCGTTTATTAGGCCGTAGGCCTGTCGCCGATTCTTAACACAGCAGAACAGGTGTTACGAGGTGTACCATGCAGATGATACTCAATTATTCGTTTGGTTGTCTCAAATTTTGTAGTATGAATCATGTTTTCTCATGAGATTGAATAGAAAAATAGAAAAAGTTACACATGAAAATATTTGATCAGAGATCCGGGAGTTTCCTCGTGAACAAACAAAATTAAATACTTCTTGTTCCTCTTACACCTAAAAAGGTGGAGAGCAAAACTCGATCTATGTCTCTGTCGTGCAGGAAAATGTGAAGAACAACAGACCACTCACGGAGCAGCACATGGAGGACTGCCTGGAGATGCTCAAAGGCTGCGTCTCCCTCGTGTACCCTGACGGTCTGCCCTCCTACGACGTCATCGCTCAGCGCCTGCACCGCGACCCAAACGCCCCGCCCCTCAACCGCGTACGCAACCCGACATTGTAGCGGCCGCTGCTGGTCCTCAAGCCGACATTGTAGCGGCCGCTGCCGGTTCTCAAGCCGACATTGTAGCGGCCGCTACCGGTTCTCAAGCCGACATTGTAGCGGCCGCTGCCGGTCCTCAAGCCGACATTGTAGCGGCCGCTGCCGGTCCTCAAGCCGACATTGTAGCGGCCGCTGCCGGTCCTCAAGCCGACATTGTAGCGGCCGCTGCTGGTCCTCAATATTTAGAGAGCTTTTGAGTACCCAAGCTTTCTTTAACGCGTTGTTTATGTAATACCTACTTGAATGCTGCTCGATTCGGTGCTCTCGATTAAACTCAATTTCATTTGCCCTTTGAAGTATGTCTCAATCAATTCAATCAACTTAGTTGATTTACGTAATTGAAATTCAGGATTCCGAGAAAATATTTAGAATCTTAGTAAATCATTGAGTTTTCGTGGCATACGTACCACTGGCCTCAATTGTAGAGTATCGATTTACAATTGTTGCCGTTGCGATATCTGGGGAAAAATTTATATCTGGACCACTTTTTCTCCAAGTTATCACTTTTCACTATCGTGGAAGAAAAAATCAATATGGATGGTATTAAGTGCGGAAATTTTGCGGTGACGCCTTGAACTAAGATCGATATTCATGTTTTGTAACTTTTCATCGATTTTTAAACAGCAATCTAGTCAAATTTTCCACGTGCTTCAGAGTTTTTCATTTGATTCATCATTGAAATTAGTTGCATAGTTTTTTTGCCGGATTATATATTCTAATTGAATTCTGTGAAATAATATAATAACATTGTTAAGATAAGTAGATAATATATTAATATTATAAAATATTAATATTTTTCAGGCCAAAGTTAAATAAAGACATTTATTTGCAGGCGTTGGAAGCCCCGATGTCGCAGCTGTGGTTCGCAGGCAAGGCGCTGGACGCTGGGAAGTCGGTCGGCGATTGCTTCGGCAGAAATGAGAAGACCAAGGCAAGTCGGGCTTTGTTGGTGAATAATTACAACAATGATTAACATTTACATGAAGTTATATAACTAAAGACGCTGTGGAAATAGATTTACGAATTAGCCATGCCGTTTTATGTCTAGGGTCTCGAAACAATGAGGCACACATTTTTGAGGAATGAATAAGTCATTTTACCCAGTTAGTGATACTCTATGAATGAGTCGTATTATACAGTTAGTTAATGAATAAGTAATATTATCCATTTAATGATGCTCTTTCTGATACCCTGATGTAAAAATACCCCTGTTGGTGATACTCTGATACGTCAAAGTGTGTAACGGTGGACCACACCTGGGCTAAGAAGTGCACGTAGACAAAGTTTCTCTTATTTCTCTATCTGTGAGAGTATACAGCATCTATCTTTAATACGGTAATATAATATTTGTGTATGAGTTTTGTATATAAAGTTCTGACGTGTCCATAGGCCGTGGTGCAGCTGGGGGCCCGGGGCGAGGTAGCGCCGGTGCGGGAGCCGCAGCTAGACGAGGCGCAGCAGGCCAGCATGATGGCTTACTGGCACCAGCGCCGGCAACAGCTGGTGTGTTGACGGGCGTGTGGTGGTGTGTTGACGGGCGTGTGGTGGTGTGTTGACGGGCGTGTGGTGGTGTGTTGACGGGCGTGTGGTGGTGTGTTGACGGGCGTGTGCTGGTGTGTTGGACGTGTGGTGGTGTGTGTATTGTTTCTTAACATGCCTCAGGTGCTTATAATTATACTAATGCGTCGCAGTAACTTGTAAAATTCATGCGCTTCTCATTTGCTCCTACAGAAGAAACTCGATGAAAACGATGACGATTCTTACCTGGACTCAGCCTGGGCAGACTCTCACGGTTTACAGCGGCAATTTCATGGACTAGAAAATATCAAGTGGAGACCGGCTTGAAATTATATAATATAATATATCAATATAATATCATCAACTCTATTGTATCTTCAATGAGCAAGTGAATAATGAGAGATGCATGGATTAGTATAAGATATTGAAGAAAATTTTACTCATTGATCTAGAAATTATTATTCCTAAACATTTTTTGTTTGATTTCGAGTCTACCTTATTTTATATAGTTACATTTTGTAAAGTGTGATGAATGGTTTAGTTGATGACCCCAAATAATTAGTGTTAAAATAGGTATATTTTATTTCAGTGCGTTATCGAATAATAAGTCAGGATTGAAGATTCGGTGATGTTTAGACAACATTTTTTTATAATGATTTTAAAATTTGATATTTTTAATTTTTGTGGGATATACGGTAATAATGATCATTTTATTGGAACATTTCTATCAATCGGGGTGTATATATATAATTCATTTTTGAGCTTTTTGATTAGAATTAGGTTTATTTACGCATATATTTTTAAGAAAACGGAAACACAAACATAACCATAATTTCCACGATAGAACATAAGCTTACATTTAACAATCTTTGCAGCCGATTTAGCTAGGATGGCCCAGTGGCTAAAGTTAAAAGTATCAGGATTGTAACAGGTGCGGGTTCGATCCCAGCTCTGTCCTCCGTATTCTGGCCAGAATCGACGAGGAGGCCTGGCGGTTAAGGGGGGCGTCTGCCCCTAACATCGAAATTTTCGGCTTTTCCGGTTTCTATGCACATCTTAAAGCTTACTTTCTGTCCCATCGAACGGCATTAGATCTCTGTACGTTGATTTATGCGTTCATGACAGATCCCGATAGGGAGGAGGTAGTGGAGTCCCTTAACAAAAGTCAAGGGGAATAATTCCGTCCAGGCACTATTGAATGTGCTATCACTGGACCTGCAGCTCGGTTATCACTCAGCCATCATGCTGAAAGGTGTTTTTGTAGTCGTCCTATGCTCCGCTGACTGACTTTGAAGAGAGTTAACGCTTACTTTCGGTATGTAAGCCACGTTACATGCCTTTACATAGCGCGCGGCGGTTTTTCGTCTCAACTGAAAACCTCTCACGGCAAACCTATCTCCTACAGTTTCCAAGCTACAACAATAAGACGTATACTATTTGATTTGCAACGAAAATATCTAAAAAATGTTTCCATCTTTCTTTCTAATTTCGTTATAGTTTGGATTTTATTGTGCAAGAAAAATGGGGGGGGGGGTGTTGGAAAATTGAAAAATTTACGAAAAATGCCCCCACATCCACAAAAATTCGAATTTGAAAAAACGCCGAAAAACATTTTATAGGAATGGTTTTTGCGCATCGAATGATATGTATCTCGACGTTGTAGCTTAAAAATCCTATGACTAGTTACATTTCTACAATACCCCCTATTCTGTGCGTTTTCTAAGAATTTCACGTTTTCTTTCATTTTTCAAATTTCACATGGACAAAAAGGTTTCCTCTTTCTATTTTACATAAATGTACCAAGTTTCAAAGTGCTCCATCTGTAAATAACTGAGATAAATTTTGGGGCAGACGCTCCCCTTATGCAAAGCAAAATTCAAGCAGTGAGTTGCGTGTTCAAGACCGCAACAAGCTGTAAATGTTCTGCGATGTAAAGAATCTGCGGCATGCGTACGCCCAAATAAACGCTGAAACCGCTATTAGTTACGACCGTGACCGCTCTCTAACGTATAGGTGTCGGTTTGATTCGATTTCATTTGTATATTTGATTCGAGTTATCTGTACCTTGAGGAACCAAGGGAGTTCATGATTCTAATGGGGTTATTATTATTTTAGTGAATTTTCTGAAAACATTATTTTCTGCAATTCATTGTCGTTTCAATATTCGCTAAAATTAACTCTCACACACCCTGACATTTGTCATATAGTTTTTTCGCGTTCTTTTATTATTTGCTAAAAAACACTTTACCTAACATTGTGCGTAGAATGCATACTAAAAACAATGCTTACACCTCGATTCTCGAATCCTGCTTAATTTTGAAGTGGACAGATTTTGTACCTAATAAATTTTTTATACCTTCAAATTACCCTAGGATCGTACCCTAAATCTTAGCTCACTTGACGTACCGGCTGTTGGGTTGGGACAGTCAACGACAGATCTCACTCTAGGATAAGCGTTGAGTGAGCCGGCCAACGAAGACGACCGTTCTATCGCGTGACTGTTGGCAGTTGGACAACTATCAGTCTTCTGTAGTTATGGCATCATTAAGGGCATTCGGTGCCTTGTCTCGCGTCAAGAGCGCATTACCGGTTCGGCAATTTCAAGGTAATGTTTTGCGTTTGCTAATCAAATGTTTCAACTGCGCTTAAATTTAATAATAGGCCTAAATCATTTCCACGAAGTCCTGCAGACGGTGCAGAGTGCAGACCCAGCCACCTAGGCTAGGCTTAGTCTGTCTGAGACGTTGATATCGTTCGAAACTGATTGTAATCAGTATAATTTTGGAGCGTTGGTCTTTGAAGGACGGAGGTCACTTGCATCATGAAATAGATGCCGCAGTAGTGATAACTGATAAGACCATGAATGCATGATGACGATGTTGCTGTGCTGTCACCGTTTGCCGTTTCCAGGTCCCGTCATGTCATGATCCATGACCATGTTGATGTTGGAGTTAGGTAGCAACAACTCAACTAGTGTCTTTCATCTTAAAGCCCAAGTTATGTCATATTGGTATTCTTTTTTCCATTCTAGGGAAAAATCTTCATCCCTGTAATGACTGTATTCTGTATAATGAACTTGACAATTTTTAAGTAAGATTCAGCATGGTACCCTACCTAGAAATTAGAATAAGTACTTAAGTAGATAAAATTTGCCATGAGCTTTTATTAGAAGTTTATACGGTAAATATATGTATATAGGGTAAATGTGGTATATTCCAACATCGTGGGTAATTCTGACTCTTCTTGACTTTTTTCCTTTATATTAAGCTTTTTCTTATTCTTAGTTCCACGCATTTGTTGTTGGTTGAAATAGTGACGTCATACTCTTGCACGCCATACTATTGCCAAAACACTAGGTCTGGACCATCTGGCGGGAAAATGTAGAGATCCAAAGAGAGACAGTGCGCGTCACCCAGCGAGAACATCAAAAAATGTGTCAAAGTTGATAGTTGACCTTGCTCTACCAAATAGTGAAAAGCTGTTTGTGTAGAAAAAATAGGGTAAACGCGGTATATTCCGACATCGTGGGCAGGATGGAATTCTAATTTTGAAGGTTCATATATTATTTCGATCCACCAAGACCACTTTTTCTATCCAACATTGTTATTTGAGGCAAAAAATGAACTTCTTAAAGGCATAAAATACATAGGCTAACTTGCTCAGTTTCTATAAAGTACCTAACCACTTGGAAGTTTTATGCCTGCACCTTTCACTCAACAATTAAACTTAGACTTATATAAAGTATTAGTTAGTTAAAAGTTTGTCTCTTAAGTTGACCGCAATGAACTAAACTTCATTATGTAATCATTAGGCAGGGATTTCCATCATGCGACACTAAACACGCAATTCAGAGTTCAGACGATCAGAACTA